GAGGTGTTTTCCCGCACGACGTTCAACACCAGCCGGTAAAACTGGCGTCAAGAAGCCGGTGGGAACCCACCGAAACGGCCTGGAAAGGCAGTTCCGGTCGGGAAGGTTCATCCACCGGCCCCAGGGAAGCGGTTTGTGCGTGGAAAAACCCGGGATCCTTCCTCAAAGGTTCGTTAGTGTCGGTGCCCCCCCCGGCTGCTGCTGCTGCTTAACGGCTCTGCGGGCTCTGAGACAGGGCTGCGGGGGTGCCAAGAAACGTCCCAAATCGGAGTTTGTCACAGGAATATTGGGTGTCTCAGAGCCCTCCATGAAGCTGAGCTGGATGTGAGGTGGGGAGGAGCTCCCACATCTCATCCCGACTTCCCACTTCGCTTCCATTCACCTCCAGGGACACAAAGGTCCCAGGAGGGCGAATTTTAAAGCACTTCCTTGGTTTTTATAACGAAACTCCCAACTGCAGCAGGGTTTTTATGAACACCACAGCAGTGATGCCCTTTCTGCGTGTGCTTCGTCCTGCTCCTCACACCCTGCATGGAGCTTTTCCTGCAGGGATTGTTCATCATTCATCCCAACATTGTGTTGATACAAACCTGTTGACAAGTTGGCTGGTGTCTCCACAACTTGGTGGAGCTCTGGTGCCCAGCACCAATTCCATCATGCCTTTAAATGCTTTGAAAGTGGGGTTTTTTGGGCATCAAAATGAGGTGAGAAACCATGATAGGATTAAAACCATCCTAAATGTGCATTTAATCATAATCTGTGAGTGCTGTCTTTTCTCTACTGAGTCTGGATAGACAGCTTGGAAGAGTAGTTTATGAGGCTGAAAATTATTCCAGAGGAAGATTTTGTTGGCTTAATGATGTTAAAAAGCTGCTTAGAGCTGGAATCTTTCCCTCACCTCACAGAACTATTAATAGATTCACCCCTCAGCAGTTTTGTTGTTATATAGTATAAAACCAAAGCTGTTCTTTCCATTTTTATGCATGGTTTTATAAACCACCCTCAGGTGGAGCCAGCCCAGCTCAGAACCAGCACCTTCATTTTTCCTGTTGGCAATCATGTAGTTCCACACAAGTGGGTTTTTGGGAAGAACATCTTTTACATCCCAGCCTTGCCTTGGAGTGTGGGACGTGTGGATTTAATGTAAATACTTCATGATTCCAGCAGAAAACTGTCTTTAATTCTCCCTGGATAAAGTCCTTTGTTGAAATAAGAGAACCTTGGACCTCTACTTCTGTAAGGAATTGCTTCCTGCTTCCTGGGCTGTAGATTTTTCTTCTGTGGGTGTTAAAATTAATTTCTCAGTCCTTCACATAGAATGAACAACTGAAATCTTGATGCTGCTCCATCATCTCTGGATTCATGCTTCACTTGTGCAAAGAAAAACAAATCCTAAGCAGTTTTTCCAGCTCTGGGAATCCTGTCCTGGGAATAAACATGCAAGCCAGGACTCATGGTGCACTCAGCTTGATAAAATTCACCATCTGGTGCCTTCCAAGTTGGTTTTTTCCTGCTCTGCTCTTGATTTTGTGTTTATTTTCCCAAGAGAAGGGGATGATGTTGAATTCCACTGATTTTTTATTTTTTCCATTCTGGGAATGTTTAAGGATGTGTAGAACTGAGGGATGCAACCTCTGGATGTCAGCATGGAGTCATTAATTCCCAAGTGTTTCATCAAGGAGGGTTTTAGACTTAATCTTTCATTTCAAAATGAATGGAACTCTTTATTTACCACATTCTTGAGGTGTCCTGAAAACTTGAGGTCTTTGGAATACCTTGGATTTCTTCATTCCTTGAAGGAATATGGGCTTCCAGAGAGAGGTTTTGTGAAACGTGGGGCTCTCTCAAGAAAGAAATATGTTTTAAAACGAAGAGTTGTTGCCAAACAAGAGAACTTTGGAAGATAAAAAGCTTTAAATTTAATCTTTTAAATGAAAGAGAAATTGGGAGTTGCCTCCAAAAAATAAAAGCTTGGCAAAACTGGGGGTCCACCAGAAAATGGAAAAGCTTTGTGACTTTGGGGGCTGCTGCCAGAAATAGAAAAGCTTTGTAAAATTAGGGATCACCTCCAAACAAAGAGAAAAAGTTGGAAAAATTGGGGAACGCTCCAAAAACATGAAGAAAAGGCTTTCAAAATTATAGAATCAGAGTGACGAAGGTTGGAAGGGACCTTAAGGATCATCAGATTCCAACTGCCATGAGCAGGGACACCTCCCACCAGACCAGGCTGCACAAGCCTCAACCAACCTGGCCTTGGACACCTCCAGGAATGGGGCATCAACAACCTCCCTGGGCAACATATTCCAATGCCTTCCTACCCTCATGGTGAAGAATTTGTTCCTGATATCCAACCTAAATCTCCTCTCTCAGTTTAAAACCATTCCCCCTTGTCCCGTCACTGCCCTCTCTGGTGATGAGTCCCTCCCCAGCTTTTCTGGAGCCCCTTCAGGCACTGGAAGGTGCTCTAAGTTCTCCCTGGAGCCTTCTCCTCTCCAGGCTCAACACCCCAACTCTCCCAGCCTGTCTCCAGAGCTGCTCCAGCCCTTGGATCATCTCTGTGGGCTCCTCTGGACCCCCTCCAACAGCTCCATGTCTCTCCTGTGCTGGAGGCTCCAAAGCTGGACTCAGAACTTCAGGTGGGGTCTCACCAGAGCAGAGGAGAGCAGAGGGGCAGAATCCCCTCCCTGGCCCTGCAGGGACACAACTGGCCTCTGGGCTCCAACGCTCACTGTGGGCTCTTGTCCAGTTTTTCATCTCCTCCCAACCCAGATCCTTCTCCCCAGGGCTGCTCTCCATCCATTCTCCACACAGGTCCTTCTCAGGGCTGTTCTCACCTGAAAGTTTGGCAAAATCAGGGGCTGCTTCCCAAAAACATAGAGAAGTTTGCAGTTGGTGCCAAACCTAGAAAGGCTTTGGAAAGTTGGAGGCTTCTTCCAGAAAGATCAATTTTGGCCAAATTGGTGCTGAAAAGCAGCTTAAATCTTTAAAGAAGGAAGGAAATGGGAGGGGGAGTGTGTGATTTTTTTTGGCTTGTGCAGCTTCTTTCTCAGCCAGGGAATGTTTGGAGGGAGAGCTGCTGAAGGGAAACTCCTAATCCAGGAGAGAAACAGGGAGAAGTTTGGATTGTGGGAATAATTTGGATCCATCATGGGCATCAACAGCTCTGCTTGTGGAGCAGCTGATTTTTCTGATCAGAACAATAAATAAATCAAGATTTTTTTTTTTAAAAAAGGGGTTTCCTGCAGAGAAATGGCAGCCAAACCTCTGGGAGATATTCCAGCAGGACACCCAGTTGTGTTGCTTTGGAATTCTAGGTTTAATTGATGTGCTCCTGAGGATTTGTTGGATTTGTTCCTCTGGTGCCCCTGGAGTCGATAGAGGTGTTGGCTGAGCTCTGTGAGGGTCCCAGGGATCACTGCAGGAGGAGGCTGAGTCCAACTTGGAAACCTGGGAGAAGGTTTCAAGTGGATAGAAGGTTGATTTTGGCATGGAAAACAAAACGTGGAGTAAAGGAGCTGGAGAAGTGGTGCTGGGAATCCCTGTCTGTCCTGGCCCATGGCTGCTGCTCCTACCTGGAGACAGAGACTGGAGTGAAGCCTCATGATCCCAAATCCTGCACTTAGTGCCAAGGAGTGGAGGGATCCATGGATTTGATTGGCTCCTGCAATAGCCTGGAGTCCCCTGAGGTCAGATATCCCGTAGATATTCCCTATGGAAAAGGCCACTTTGGGGACATAACACAATGAAAATGGCCAGTTCAGGTCTTGGGGTGATTTATCCCATGAATTTTCTCTCTCAACAAATCTTTGCACCCTCTTTCCATCCAGCACCTTTTACAACTCATTTCTCTTTCAAATCACTTTTTTTTTTTTCACTTCTTTTTCTTCACTCCAAACATCTTGACCTTTAGATGCTGAAACAATGAAAAAGAAAACCCAGGGCTCACTTCATCCTTGTGTCCCAAACAAACAAAAAAAAGCAGAATTGCAGCTGCAATTAAAGACTTTATTGTATCTAGAGTCACTTCAGGGAAGCAGCAGAGCCCTGATCTTGCTTCTTTCTTTTTCTTGCAGGTTATGGCACCTGGAATACTGGGGCTGCCAGCACCCAAGGTGAGTTTTGGTGGGTTAGAAAAAGGCTATTTTAGAAGAGAACTGATTATTTCATCCTTCTGGCTTGAATAATGTCAGAATCATTTTTTTCCAGCCTTTCTGTACATGTTTTAGTGACCCCCTGCTTGGTTTTGGTAAAAGCTTTCTCTGACATATCATGATATTCCCAGTATCCTGTACTGGATGAACTGGTCACAGCCCTGTCTGTAGTTAACATGGTGCTTTGCCACAAAACCAGGAGTCCTGGGAGGCTCTGGACTTTGGGCTTTCACCTTCCTACTCCTCCCCAGCCTGACCTGGACCAGCAGTAGGATCCTCCTCAAAGGAGCAGTTAGGGGGTTGCTGCGATTTTACTGCTACCCCAGGGGTTTTGTGGGATAATTGGAGCCTTTTCCAGTGCAGCGGTATGAAAATATCTCAAAAAATAGATTTAAAAAGAAGTATCTGTTATTCAGTTCATTTTGATAATTGTGTCTTGGAAGTCTTCCTCCCTCCCTTCCCATCTTCTCCTCCCACCCCTCCTTCCCTTCCCACCCCTCCTTCCTCCCTCCCCTTTCCATGCAAAAGGATCCATTTTTACCAGCAATCAGTGACTTTATATCAATATTTATTCTCTGAAGTTGTTGCTTCTGTAGGAGCTGAAGCCCTTTTCTCTTTGCCTCCTTCAGGTACTTATGGGACGAACGCCACAAGCTGGCAAGGTAGGAGCTAGAACCCTCCTTTCTCTCTGGTGTTGGGGTGTCTGCTCAGGCCCTGGAGTTGGTGCCATTTCCCAGCTCCATCAACTGTCTCCACTTGGAAGTTGGTGGAGATTCTGCAGACTCAGACCTTTACCCCTCCCTCACTTGTGGCTTTTCCCCTCTCCCCAGCACTGGGGCTGGTTCTGTCTGAGGCCCTGTCCTGCTGACAGGCTCAGCCTTCAGCTGCTCCCAGCAGGAGTTGGAGCCTGTGGCTGAGGAGGGTTCATGTCTTCCCCATTCCCAGTTCCCGTTGCTGGGGCCCAGGCAGCTGCCTGCACCTTCACACAGGTTCCCTGCCCCCTCATGTCCTCCTGGCACCACGCTGCCACTCCCCTCAACCAGCCATGATTTGCTTTCACTAAATTAACTTTTCCTCTGGGAGCAATTAGTTAATTGGCCTCAATTGAGATCCTGGGGCTGCTTTAAGCTGCTCTTTATGCATTCCCAAGCGAGATTACTTTAGGAATTGTTACTCCTCTGGTCCTCTCAGGATCACACTGAAGGCTGCACCTCGGGCTGTGGGTTCAAACCTCCTAGATCGACTCACTGGTGAAAATGAGGGTGTTTTTTTTTCTTCTATTAATTCTCTTTTTTGTTAAGCCTGGATGTCCCAGTCAAGGATTCATGCTGAGGTGGAGCTGAATGGCTGTTCCTGCCCAGGGGACCTTGGAATTTAAATAAAACCATGAGTCACAGGCAGATGGGGAAGACAAAGGCACAACAAGGCTGTGGTGTCTTTCCACAAGATCTTCTGATTAAATTCTTTGATCCTGGTCCTTTTTTGCTGGATACACAGTGATGGGCCCATCCACTTGGGGGGTTTTGTGTCATTTTATGAGGCTCTGAGACAGAAATGGCTCAGGATCTTCTCCAGAGGTTGCAAACACCACCAGCATCACGGTGGGTTTTGGTAGCTTAACATCAACCAAGGGAGGAAATTCCTGGTGATTTTAGGGTTGGGCAACAAGATTCTTTGGTATTTCTCACTTTTAAAGACTAGGTTTCTTTTCAAGGAGGTGGAACCCAACTGCAGCCTGGCCTGGGAGGATCCCCTGGCATCTAACTTGTTTTTCCTGATCCCTGTGTCGATGATATTGCATTAATTAATATCCCTTGGGATGTTAATATCCACGGGGGTGATGGTGGGGGAGAAGCTCCACATGGGCTGCCACCATGTGCTGGAGCCCAGAACCCCCCCATGGCCCTCCTGGGCTGTGTCACCAGCAGCGCGGGCAGCAGAGCCAGGGAGGCGATTGTCCCCTCTGCTGTGGTGAGACCCCCCTGGAGAACTGGAGGCAGTTCTGGGGTCCCTAATATAGGAAGAACTGGGAGCTATTGGAGTGAGTCCAGAGGAGGCCATGGAGATGATGGAAGGGCTGGAGCACCTCTGGAGACAGGCTGGGAGAGTTGGGGTATTGAGCCTGGAGAAGAGAAGGCTCCAGGGAGACCTTAGAGCACCTTCCAGTGCCTGAAGGGGCTCCAGGAAAGCTGGGGAGGGACTTGGGACAAGGGCAGGAGTGATGGGACCAGGGGGGATGGCTTGAAACTGGCAGGGGGAGCTGGAGGTTGGACCCGAGGAGGAAATTCTTGTCTGGGAGGGTGGGGAGAGCCTGGGCCAGGGAAGCTGTGGCTGCCCCATCCCTGGCAGTGTCCAAGGGCAGGTTGGATGGGGCTTGGAGCAACCTGGGCTGGTGGGAGATGTCCCTGCTCATGGGGGGGTGGATCTAGATGATCTTGAAGGTCCCTCCAAACCATTTCATGCTTTTATTTCCTTTCTTACCAGGCTATGAAGGCTATGACTACTACAACACCCAAACTACAGCCGCCAACACAGCTGCCACCTACAACTATGCTGCAGCCACCTCCAGCAGCTGGGAAGCCCCCAAGCCCTCAGAGCTGGCCATGAACCCCGAGGTGGCCACCATGCCCGTCACTTCTTACGGCGCCGAGGCCGCGGGCAACGAGAACTCGGATTCCATCATTGCCAAAATCAACCAGCGCCTGGACATGCTGTCCAAGGAGGGCAGTGGTGGCACGGGGGAGGGCATGGAGGACCAGGAGAGGTGACTGTGCTTCTTTTTATTTCTTTTTAATACTAAAAAAAAAATGTTTTCAAGGCCTGTCAAGTCAGTTGAAGCTGTTGTGGTGGCCTGGGCACCATCAGTATTATATCACAGTCAGAGAAAACCTCTTGACAACCTCACTTGTGCCCTGTGATAGGACGAGGGGCAATGGATTCAAACTGGAGCACAGGAAGTTCCACCTCAACATGAGGACAAACTTCTTGACCGGGAGGGCTTCACAGCACTTGGCCAGGCTGCCTAGGGAGGTTGTGGAGTCCCCTCTGGAGACTTTCAAGACCTGTCTGGATGTCTTTCTGAGTGACCTTCCCTAGCTTTGGTCCTGCTCTGATGGGCGGGTTGGTCTCTATGATCTCCAGAGGTCCCTTCCAATCCCTGATATTCTGTGATTCTGTGAGAATCCTCGGGGTGGGCAGGGACCTCTGGAGATCACCCACTGTCACTCCCTGGAGAGCAGGGTCACCTCCAGCAGATCCCACAGGAACCAGCTGGGTTGGGAATGTCTCCAGAGCAGGAGACTCCACAGCCTCTCTGGGCAGCCCAACATGAAACAACTCAATTTAACTCAGTGGGAAGAAAAAAAATTAAATATATATATGTATGTAATTACTGAGCAGAAAAAGGAAGGCAGAGGGAAAAAAGCTGTCCAGGGGGTTGGACTGATGATCTCCAGGGGTCCCTTCCCACCCAACCTCTCTGTCACTCTTGTGTTTTGCTCCTGAAATAATAACTGAACTTGGTAAGAGTTCCTGATGAAATGACGAGGAGCCGAGGGGTTATCCCCATTAATTCCCACCTGGAGGTGCAGCTCTGAGATGTGAAGGAGGGGGATTTCCCTGGGGAAGCTTTTGGGATCTCCTGTTACTCTGGGACAACATAATCCAGAGTGATTTAGTGCTGCAAAGTTCTGACATGGGTGTGCACTAAAACATGGGGTTCAGTCCATTTTTAACACCAACTCCTGCTTGTCAAGTACTTTTGAAGGACTTTAACACTTTGACAAGTTAATTTTATCTTAAAAATGTTTTTTCTGCCATGATTGGGTTGTAACTTGGGTTTTTCTGTGCTCTTGAGGTTTCTGAGAGCTTCGATTTCCAAAAGAAGTTGCTTCAAGTGTTTTTCAGTGGATGAAAATGTTTGTCTTGTTCCTCTCTGACCCTTCTCTCCCCCACAGCTCCTTCAGGTTCGAGTCTTTCGACTCATACGACTCAAGGTCTTCCATGAACGACCGTGACCTGTACCGCTCTGGCTACGACTACGGGGATGTCGGAGGTGACCGGAACGATTCCTTCGGGAGCCAGTTCGACAACCGCCGGGATCAGTCCCGGAACCGTGGGAACAGCTACGGGCTCCTGCGCGGCCGGGGCCAGAACCGCGTGCAGAACCGCGGGCGCCTCAACGCCTTCAACCGCAGCGACCACTTCATGCCCTCCTCCAGCTCCGAGCGCCTCTCGGCTCGTTGGAACGAGCTGAACTACATGGGTGGGCGTGGGATGGGGGGGGCCGGATCCAACAGGCTCCCTTCCCTCTTTTCCCAAGCCCTCGTTCCCGACTACGGTGACTACGGTGATTACGGCGACTACGGCGACTATGGGGATTACGGGGATTATGGCGACTACGGAGATTATGGTGACTACGGAGACTATGACTATGGCATGATGGGGATGTCGGGCATGGGAATGGGCCGGTATGGGAATATGCCCTATGGAATGGGCAGGCAACGGAACAGAGACAGGATGGGCGCCATGCCCTGGCACATGAACGCACTCACGGTGAGTCCTCGCCCGCCAGGTTGGGTTTGTTTCTTGGTAAAGTTGCTTCTTGCTTGTGTTTGGCTTGTGCTGGAGAAGCCTTAGTTTTAATTCCACCCTGCTTCCGAGGTGGAATAATGAATATGGGATAGACCAGAGAGTCATCAAGCTTCTTGTACACCCACTGGCTCCTCAAATGGAGGCTCTGGGTGCTTCACCCCTCCCCAGTCTTTTCAGGCGTCACTAACCCAGCTATAAAATCCTTTTAGAGCCCAAAACAAGTCTGCAGGGGGACAAGCCTTCCAACTTTTTGAGGATATGGAGCAGAGGGATGGAATGTTTGGATATTTAAGCTTTTTTACATGCCTCAGATTGATTGATACAGAATCCTTCTGTTTGGAAAAAAACCTTTAAGATGGCTACAGAAAAGCTGGGGAGGGACTTTGGATAAGGGCAGGGGAGTGATGGGATGAGGAATAATGAATTAAAACTGGGAGAAAGGAGCTTGAGGTTGGACACAAGGAGAAAATCTTGGCTGGGAGGGTGGGGAGAGCCTGGGCCAGGGAAGTTGTGGCTGCCCCATCCCTGGAAGTGTCCAAGGGCAGGTTGGATGGGGTTTGGAGCAGCCTGGGCTGCTGGTGGGAGGTGTCACTGCCCATGACAGGGGGTGGGACTGGATCAGCTCTCTTCTGGCCCAAACCAGTCTGGGATTTTGTGATGGGGACAGAGGAAAAACAGGGAGGAGAACCATGGCCCTGATCCCAGGGATGCTGACCTCATCCTGAGCCTGTGAGCTCAGGAATGAACCCCGAGTTGGAACTAGATGATCTTCAAGGTCTCTGTCAACCCAAACCATTCCATGATTCTCAGTATCACAGTATCCCTAGTTGGAAAAGGCCTTCAAGACCATCAGGTCCAACCACTACCCTAACTCTGCCACGTCCACCACCAAGCCCTGTCCCCTGGCACCACATCTGTCTTTTTTGATATCTCCAGGGGTGGTGTCTCAGCCACCTCCTGGGATCAGCCTGGATCACCCAGTCCAACTCCTGCCCCAGAACAGGACAACTCCAAAGTTCACACCATGTCCCTGAGGGTGTTGTCCAAGTGTTTCTTGGATATTGTCAGGCTTGGTGCCATTCCTGCCTCCTCAGTGCTCCAGGGTGAAGGATTCACACCATAAACACAAATTATTTCTTCCTTCTTCAGCCCAAGAGAAGAGGATTCCGGAACCGCTCCGGTGGCCGCTCGGATGGGGAGGGAGGAGGAAGGAAACGGAAACAGTCGCAAAGCGGCGACGAGCCCGACAGCAAACAGGCCAAGAGCGACAGCGAGGGCGACGACAGCGACAACGGTACCAGCCCCTCCTGCCTCTGACCACCCCTTTCCCCGCCTCCTGTTTGGCCTGTTGTACCTCTCGACTATCGGCAGGTGTCACCGTGTCGGGGCTGTTCTGTTCTTTGTAGTCTGGGTGTCACAACATTGCCAGGAGTGCACAGGCTTCCTGGTCTGTGTGTTGTGCACCTGGGATCAAATTTCATGCCCGAGGTTGTAAGAGTTTCCAGCAGAGGCTGATGGGTGAGGAGAAGCCAGGAAGCTGTTTGTAGAGTTCTGAGCCATGAGCACAGGGGTTGTGATTTATTTGGCCCATGGAGAGTTAAGTGGGAGAATAGACACCCCCCTCATCCCCAACACCAGCTTCTTGACTTATTCCAGTGGGTTCTGCTGTAGATAAGGGACAGTGGGCACAAGGACAAGGAGCTGCTGGAGAGGGGACAGCAAAGGCCACCAAGGGGCTGAGGGGACTGGAGCATCTGGCCCATGAGGAAAGGCTGAGGGAGCTGGGGCTGTGGAGCTGGAGAGGAGGAGCCTGAGGGGGGGTCTCCTCAAGGCTGCTCCAGATCTCCAGGGGGGCAGGAGGGGGGGACCAGGCTCTTCTCAGCAGTGCCCAGGGCCAGGACAAGGGGCCATGGGCACCAGCTGGAACATGGGAAGTTGCAGCTCCCCAGGAGGAGGAAGTTGTTTCCTGGGAGGGTGGCAGAGCCCTGGGCCAGGCTGCCCAGAGAGGCTGTGGAGTCTCCTGCTCTGGAGACATTCCCAGCCCAGCTGGTTCCTGTGGGATCTGCTGGAGGTGACCCTGCTCTCCAGGGGGTGGCAATGGGTGATCTCCAGAGCTTCCTTCCAACCTTATGACCACTCTGTAACTTCTCTTTTGTGCAGCAGATGATGGTGAAGGAGAAGAAAAATCAGGAGATGAAGCTGACAAAGGTGTAAGTAATCTTTTATTTTTTATTGATCTCTGTAGCAATTTAGGCAATTTCTGTGGGTCCAAATCTTGAAAATCTCCCAGATACTCCATTTTGAGCCCAGGAGTTGGGAAGATATTTGCTTCTTATAATTTTATTTTCCTGTGCCCTTCAGCTGGAATGATTGGCCTGGGAAGTGCCTGAAAATCCCTTGTAGGTTAAAGGTTTTGGTCCTGCACCTCTGCTTGTGGTCAGGCTCGTTAGAGCTGAATCCCAATTAGTGCTTGGTTTGTTGTTGGTTTTACTGGTGACCTTTGGGGCAGGGTTCCTCAGAGCAGCAGCTCAGCTGCCAGGTATTTAAATTATGACAGTGGGAAATGCTGAGCAGCCCTGACACACAACAAGGCGAGACAAAAAATTACTCTTTTCAGGAGCATTTTTACAAATGGGTGTTTCATTCCAGCTGACACTACCTGGGGGGGGGGTCTCTGGGGAACTTCCAGTCACACCAGCATCTTGTGTTTCTCTTTTCCAGGAGAATGGGAACTGGGGACATTTGGTGGATGAAGGTGGCATCTTAAACCCTGTTCCTGGAATGATCCTACCCCAAATCCATCTGCTTCACCTTCTGGGTCCTACCCAGAGCTCTCTGGTTTCTTTGCCCCCACGGTGGAGGATGAGAAGATGTCCTCTTCTCACAGAGCAGAAAATACCATCATTCTCCTTGGAGGCTTCAGCCATGAGACAAACCTTGTTTGATTTTTATTTTGATTTTACTTTCCAACAAATTGGACTGGGTGGAGGTGTTTTCCAGCACTAGTTTCCAGCACTAGTTTTCCAGCACTAATGCCACACCCCATGTGGTCTAAAGCAGCTGAATCCATCTCAGTGGGTTTGGGATTGGGCTTTTGTGGTAAAAAAACACACCAACCCCACCACCTTGTGCCTCCTGCCTTTGGGCACCTGGGGAAAACAACCTGTAGGCCTTCTCTTGCTGCTTTTGGGTTGGTTTGGGGGATTGAAACAGAGGGGTTAAAATTCCTCCTGAAACTTCCCTCTGATGCCTGAGTGTCTCTGGGCTACTTCCCCTAAAAACATCCCAGGTGAATTATTCCCTAACTCACAGCTTTTTACCCCAAAACATTGCAGGGATGAGCTCAGCTGAATCCTTGGATCTATTTTTTGCTTTCCCAAGAACTGTCAAAGATTTCTTGGGAAGGCAACATGAGGGATATATCCAGAAGCATCCCAAGGAAGCCAGAGCTAGTCCTCCAGCATCTCTGCTGGCTTTGGTGTCTTCTCTTCCCTGAGGAGGTTTTTCAGCCTCATGAAAGGGGGAAAAAATGAGGATTGTGGGAGAAGGAGCAACTCATCCCAAGGAAGGGAGGCAGAGAGGCGTGGAAGTTGGGACTTCCCATTCATAGCTTGTCCTGTTGTCCTACAAAGTCTTGGAGTTTCTGTGGGATGTTCATGGAGGGTTTGGAGACCTTGGCAAAAAGCTGCTGCTTCCCTGTGGTTGGAAGCTGGGAGGGGGAGACCAAAAGAAATGGTGACTTCCCAAAGCTGAGAGTAAAGAGGAAACTGAGGGGTTTGGATCCCAGGCAGCACCATGGAGACTGGGAACACAATCATTCCTTTTCCTTTCTCCTGGCAGCATCTGGAGATGGTTGTGAGGATGATGATGAGGAGGTGAAGAAGAAGAGGGAGAAGCAGCGGAGGAGAGATCGGATGAGGGACCGAGCTATGGACAGGTAGGGAAAAGGAGAGGATGGACCATTTGTGGCAAAATACTGACCAGAGGGCACAGGTGTGGGATAAATCTGCTGAGGGGGGGATGGGTGTCTGTTCTGATTTCAGAGAATCAGTTATTGAGGGTGGAAAAGACCTTCTGAGATCATCAAGTCCAGCCTCTGAGCAAACGCCACCACCTCAGCCAGACCATGGCACTAGTGCCACATCCAGCCTTTCCTTAAACATCTCCAGGGATGGTGTCTCCACCACTTCCCTGGGCAGTCCGTTCCAATGGCTGATCACCCTTTCCATGAGAAATTGCTTCCTAATGTCCAACCTAAACCTCCCCTGGAGCAGCTTCAGGCCTAGGCCCTCTTGCCCTGTCACTGGTTGCTTGGGAGAAGAGTCCAACCCCACCTGACCACAGCGTCCCTTCAGGTGGTTGTAGAGAGTGAGAAGGTCCCTTCTGAGTCTCCTCCAGGCTAAACAACCACAGCTCCCTCAGCCTCTCCTCATCAGACTTTCTCTCTAGTCCCTTCACCAGCCTTGTTGTCTCCTCTGGACCTGCTCCAGCACCTCAAGATCTTCCTTGAACTGAGGAGCCCGGAACTGGACGTTTCAGTGGAGTTTGTCCCTGTTGGTGGTTTATTGCTGTTCTATGAGGAGAGCACTGATGTGTTCAGTAGGTCCCTCAGAGTGTGGTTAGGAATCCAGGAGAGTGTTCTAATCATAGAACGGGGTTGGAAGGGACCTTTCAAGGTCATCTAGCCCAGCCCCCCCAGCAGTGAGCAGGGACCTGTTGAACTAGACCAGGTTGCTAGGAGCCCCATCAAGCCTGACCTGGAACATTTGCAGGGATGGGGTCTCCACCACATCTGGGCAACCTGTGCCAGTGCTTCACCCCCCACAGAGCACAAAACGTCTTCTTCATGTCTAGTCCAAATCCGCCCTGCTCTAGTTTTAGGCCACTGTCCCATATCCCGTCACTCCTGCCCTTGTCCCAAGCCCCATCCCAGCTTTCCTGGAGCTCCTTCAGGCACTGGAATGTTCTTTAAAGTCTCCCTGGAGCCTTATTCTCTCCAGGCTGAACAATCCCAGCTCTCTCAGCCTGTCTTTGTTAGAGAGGTGCCTCAGCCCTCAGGACATCTTTGTGACCTTTCTCTGGACTTGTTCCACCAGGTTCATGTCCCTCTTGCATTGGGAGCTCCAGAGTTGGACCCACTTCTCCAGGTGGGGTCTCCCCAGAGCAGAGCAGAGAGGGACAATCCCCTCCCTGATCTACTGCTGGTGACAGCTCATGATCTGATTGTCTCTCTGGGCTGCAAGTGCTCATTGCTCATATCCAGCTTTTCACCCACCAGTTGCCCCAGTCCCTTTCCCCAAGACTGCTCCATCACCTCATCCCAGTCTGTGTTGGTAGCTCTGGTTGCCCCTACGCAGGTGCAGAACCCTGCAGTTGGCCTTGTTGAACCTCAGGGGTTCACCTTGGGTCCACTTTGCCAGCTTGTCCAGATCCCTCTGGGTGCCATCCCATCCCTCTGGATCATATCCTGCCCCAATGGTGTGTCAACCACACCACCCATACTTGGTGTCATCTCCAAACCTGCAGAGGGTGCCCTCGATCCCACTGTCCATGTCCTTGACCGGTCCCAGTAAGGACCCCTGGGGACACCACTTGTCACCCCTTTCCATCTGGACATTGAGCCATTGAGCATGGCCCCCTGGATGCCACTATCCAGCTAATTCCTGCCATATGGAGAAGTGAATGGTAGTTAATCTGTGCAGGTCCTGCAGCCTTGATAAAGATCCATGAGAAGGTCAAACTGGGAGGAGAGCACTTGGAAAAACTAAGAGGCAGAAACTTACCAGGGGTTGGGAATGGTCTTGTTGGGTTGATCTGGTTCCTCACCTCTGGCACGACTGCTCCCGGTAGGATCCAGTTTGCCTGTTCCGTCTGCAAGTTCCGCAGCTTTGAGGAGGAGGAGATCCAGAAACATCTCCAGAGCAAATTCCACAGGGAGACGCTGCGCTACATCGGCACCAAACTGCCGGACAAGACCGTGGAGTTCCTGCAGGTGGGTGGGGGCTGCTGGCTCAGCCCTTCCTGCTTCCGTGCTGGGTTAGCCAGGATTCCAAGGGACACCCAGGCCTGATCACTGGGGATACCCAGGCACTGTTTGGGATTTCCGGGCCTGATCATCTGGGATATCTAGGCCTAATCATTGGGAATATTCAGACCTGATCTTTGAGGATATCCCGGCCTGATGACTTCAGATATCCTGGTTTGATAATTAGGGATATCCAGCCTTGATAATTTTGGGATACCCAACCTTAATAACGTGGGATTTCCAGAGTTGATAATTTGGGATTTGCAGGCTTAATTTGGGATGTTTAGCCTTAATTTGTGATATCCAAGCTCAATAATTTAGGATATCCAGACAATTTGGGATTTTTGGTCTTAATTTCAACCCTCCAGCCCTAATAATTTTGGCTCTCCAGGCTTGCTCTGGGCTTCCCAAAGTCACCTGTGAGCTGGAGGGGCTGCAGGTTGATCCAGACAAGCTTGGCTGTGTGGCTGTTGTCACCGCGTCACCCGATGACGTCAGCACGACGCGGTTTCTCACCAGTCGTGTTGGGAGGGGAAGTTAATTGTATGAATTTGATCAAAAAGGCCTGAAGTTAATATTGCAGAAATGGTCTTTGCCAGCTCAATGTCTAGAGCTGAGGAAGGTGAGATACAGACTAGGGGAGGGGTATCTTCTGGATAGCCCATGTTTGCCTTTTGGGGCCATATATCTAGGATTTGGGGTCTCCCACAAGGAATCTGGTGGTGACGTGGAAGTGGGTTTCTCCCTGGCTCCAATTTGGATATTCCCAGCTCTTGATCTGCCCCTCAAGGGTCTTTGTAGGTTCTGAGGAGGACAGTGGGTCTTGAGGACAGCAAGTCTTCTCCTCTGCCCTTCAAGTGTCTCAGTGGGTTCTGAGGAGGGCAGCGGGTCTTGAGGAGTACAGCAGGTCTACTGTGCCCCTCGAGTGTCTGGGTGGGTCGTGAGGAGCACAGCAAGTCTCCTCTGTTCCTTGAGTGTGTGGGTGAGTTGTGAGGAGCACAGCAGGTCCCCTCTGCCCCCCAGGAGTACATCATCAACCGCAACAAGAAGATCGAGAAGCGGCGCCAGGAGCTGACGGAGAAGGAGGGCACAAAGCAGAAGCCAGATCCCTTCAAAGGTGAGTGTCTGTCCTGTGTTCAGAGAGCAGGGGATGCTCCAAAGAGGGTCAGCAGCACAAAAAGGATTTAACTTAGGCTCCATTTTGGATCCTTTTTTTTTGCCAACTTTGGGCAATAAATCCTGGTGGCGGGTGGGGAGGAACGCCTGTCATGGTTCCAAGAGCGGCAGCGACGCTTGTGAGCACCAAACTGGGGTGATCAGGGAAAAACTGCCAGGAATTGTGCGGTTTTGGAGTTGTTGGGTTAATGCAGGTGGAACCTGTGGTTGATTTTAATGTTAGAAGAAAGTGGCAGAGTTGATTTGATGGGGAAAAGCAGCTCCATCAGCCCCAGTGTGGGCTGAACTGGGAGTATGAGGGGGCTGGGACATTGGAACAGGTTGCCCAGGGAAGCTGTGGCTGCCCCATCCCTGGAAGTGTCCAAGGGCAGGTTGGATGGGGCTTGGAGCAACCTGGGTTGGTGGGAGGTGTCCCTGCCCGTGGCAGGGGGTTGGACTGGATGATCTTTAAGGTCCCTCCCAACCCAAACCAGTCTGGGATGCTGGGCTTCTATGAGCAGAGTTTAGCTGAGCTGCACTTTGGTTATAAAATCTGACCTTGAGGAGGGAGGAGGAAGGAACCCAGAAGAGGAGAAGCCCCTGTTTTCCCACCCTTATCAAACATTTTTGGAAGGACAGGCTGGTTCTGGATAGAACTGAGGAAAACAGTTCTTTGGCCCTCAGACTGTTGTCTCCATCTCTCTTCCCTTGGGTTCTGGTTGGAATTATCTGGTTTAGACCAGAATAATTCTCCTCCCCACCTCAGAGCAATGTATCATGGGGGAGTTTTTTGGCATCTTTGGAAGCCAAAACTGGAAGGAATATGGGTGCTGACCTGGCCGTGCTGAGGGGTGGGGGTGGAAGGGAGGGTCACCTCCCTTGTCCCTGTGGTTGATTCCTTGGCCTGGCTGCAGGGATTGGCCAGGAGCATTTCTTCAAGAAGATCGAGGCTGCCCACTGCATGGCCTGTGACATGTTGATCCCTGCCCAGAACCACCTCCTCCAGAGGCACCTCAGATCTGCTGACCACAACAGGAATCGCAGGGTGAGCCATCCTGCTCCTTCCCAATGGGCTCTGCCAGGGTGGGAGGACATGTCCAGGTGCTCCAGGTTTATTTGCAGCTTCCAAAAAAACACTCAAACCATCTGGGGTCACACCATGAGATGAAGCCACTGAGCTGGGAGCTCTGAGGGGTTGTGGAAAGATTGTGGGGTTTGTCCTTCTGTAGGGAAGCATGAGTGGATGAGAAGTGGGAGGTGAATGGAGATCCAGCCGTCAGTGCTGGGAGTTTGGTGTTTGACATCCCTGAAAATATCCAAGGGCAGGTTGGATGGAGCTTGGAGCAACCTGGGCTGGTGGGAGGTGTCACTGCCCATGGTGGGGGTTGGAACTAGATGATCTTTGACATCCCTCCAACCCAAACCATTCCATGACTTCAATGAATGTCCTGGACTTGATCTCAGGGTATTTAGGGGGATGGTCCACCTGTTGGGGCTGAAATGTGTCCTTCTTCAGGGCTGGTGTTAGCAGAGGAGGTGGGTGCTCCCTCGCATCCACTTTTTATGATGTTTTCTGGGATCTGAGGTCAAGTTTCCCAAACCCTGGGAGAAAGAGGGAATAGAAACTCTCAAGCTGAGCTCCTTGTTTGAACTCTTCCCTGTTGGAACCTCGGGTTCCTTTGCAGATGGCTGCTGAGCAGTTCAAGAAAACCAGCCTGCACGTGGCCAAGAGTGTTCTGAACAACAAACACATCGTCAAGATGCTGGAAAAATACCTCAAGGTGAGTGAGCAGGAGACATGGCGGCTGCTGCCGCGCAGCGGAGCCGCCTCCGACCGTGGTGACCGACGCTTCGACGGGGACAAGTGTAGGTCCCACCTGCTGCCTTTTGGGGTTTTTTTTCTCTCTAAATGGTGGGTTTGGTTTCTTTCCTCTTTCCACCACTTCTCCTGGTGTTTTTGTTTTCCTGACTTTGAACTCACAGATGGGACCTGCTCTCCTTCCCAGGCGCCTGTAGATCAATTAATGAAACCATCCAAAACGGAAACATAATGAAAGAAACCAAACTAGCCAAAGGAATTCCAGGTTCCCACACCCACCCCTCGAGCTCTGGCCTTGAGGGGACACACACACACCAGGTCTCCCCCAGCACAGAGGAGTGAGCGTGTGGGTCAGGAAACCACCGCTTGGGTCCCGCTGGGATTGATTCCAACATGGAGTCCCTGACCTGTGACCCTGCTTGGGGTGGGATAATTGGGACCCCGTGTAAGGAGCCGGGCTCCGCAGCACTCCTGGCAGCTCGACCACATGACTGAGCACCCCAAGGAGGGGGAAATCCCATTGAAACACCCTCATTAGTCACCCCCCTTTCTTCCTCCCCTTCCCTTGGGAAGTGGCAGAGAACCCTGAGCTGATCTTCAGAGCCGAGACGAAGCACGAGGAGGAGAGGTCAGGGTAGGGTTCGTTTATCCCAAACCAGCCTTTGGAATGCCAGAACGAAGCCTGGAAGGCAAACACAGTCTTCAGAGCATGGGGGGTAAATGGCTCCGTGCGGGAACGCCGCCAGCCGGGGCGGTTATTCCCGGCCTGGAGCACCGGCGGATCCGGTGGCGGGTTTAACGGGATCCGAGAGAGAGGAGAGGTGGGAACCTCCCCCGCCGGGCGAAGATGAAACGAAGCTTTTGGCTCCTTGTTCCCTGGGAATCCGGGAACAGCCCCAGGATCCTGCAGGAGAAAAAAACCCCTTGTTTGCAACCAGGGGCAGGCAGATGCCCTCACACACCCCCCCCCCGACGGGGGAGCAGATGTTGCCCCACGCCCACCGGCGGCACGGTTTAATTTCTGGGCTAACCCTGGATGGAGCTGGTTCTCCTCAAGCCCAGTCTCTGCTATAAAAAAAAAATAATCTTCCCAAAAAAAAAAACTAACCAAAAAACTGCGACTCCACCCTCTGGGTCCAGTGAAAAGAGACGTTGAGTGGAGGGTCTGTCAGCGGAGGACGGGGCCTCTCTCCCCTCAAACCGGCCTCTCATACACGTTGAACAGGAGGGTGAGATAAAAAACCCTGCGGTACCCCCAGGAGCAGAGAGAGAGAGAGCCAGGAGCCCTCGAGGCTGAGGAGGTGCAAACCTCTGGGATCTCTCCGAGAAATCTAAAAGAGAATTAAAATTAAAAACTAAAATTAAAAACAAATAAACCCCCCCCCCCAAAGACTGGAACCACTCAAGTGCAACTCCATCTACCCCTGCCAGGGTCCGCAGGCACGTCCACATCTCCTCATGATCAACGGTATCAAAGGCTGCCGGCAGATCTAAATGACTCGGCATGGGCCAGCGGCAGGAGGAGATCCTCGGATCCATCCCAGCACCGTCTCCGTATCATTCCCAAGGTGCAAAACCAGGCTGAAAAGGGGTGGAGGAAAATCAGGATTGCAGGTAATGCCAAGAGCCGCCCCGCCATAAATGTCCTCGGCAAAGCTTCCCCCAGAGGGAGGCCGGAGACGCAGGGCGGTTACTTAATCAAGACTTGGCCGCATCAAGAGGTGATTTCTTGACCATGGGCCTAAGGATTCCTCCTCGGAGGGATGGCGGGACACCGCGCCCTTCCCAAGGAAAGCCGTGACAGTCTCCACCACGAGTGGACTTCACCTCCCCCGGCAGATTTTACCGGCGATAACGGACGTTGGGGTCCAGATCGCGAGGTAGAGCCGGGTGCGTGATCCCCCCTTCTCTCCGTGGCCTCCGGAGGTTGGGATCCTCAGCCAGAGAAGATGAACGTTGAGGTTTCTCCTCCACCTGCATGGATCTTCTCAGCCAACCTGGTCTGAATCTCTGATCGAGGCAGATACTAACCCCAGGGTGGGGAGGGAATTAAAAAGAGGAGGAAGGGTCTGGAGAGCTTTTATTTTTCCCTCCTGTTTTTCCAAGCAAGGAAATCTCTCCCCCCTGCTGTGGTCGATCAGATTCCAGGCGAGGTTCCTGCCGCCGCTGGCGTGCCGAAGGGAGGGAGAACTTTGGGAATGTAGCAGCAGGGATTGTCCTCGGATGGTGACAGCAGGGTGTGTGTGGGGCATCTCCTTTGGCAAGGTCCAGGCCTAGGGCAGCAGCACCACAACTTGTGCCTGCATCTCTGCTCCTGCCACGGGAGCAGAATCCCTCAGGAAACGCGGGGGAACGGTGCTGGGATCCGCCGGCGGCCTGGATGCAGGTAACGAGGTCAGAAATCAAACCTAAAAACCATGTAAAACCTTAAAAAAAACCCCAAAAACCACCAAATCTGGAGGGTCTTGGTGTCCCCAGAGACCCCTCCAGGCCGGGGGCTGCATCTGGATTCCTCCATCTCCTGAAAAGCACGTAAAGGCGGGATGGAAACCTGGAAGCGTCGCCGCTCTTGCCAGCGAGGGAAGGGGAATCTGGCCGTGGGGCCGGAAGGTTGAGGAATTCCTTTTGGATTTTAATAATCTCTGTTAAACCCAAATTCCTCCTGAGCCAGGAGCGGGGCCGCTGAACCCCAGCACATCCTTGGTGCAGGAGCTTTGTTTTTTACCAGTTCTTTCCACTCCTTCCAGGGGTAGGATCTTTTTTTTCCCGGGGTTCTCTCGCTGCAAATCCTTTGGGATTTTCCATGCTGGACTTTTTATTCCACCATTTTAAGACTCATCCATCGCCATGCCGGTTTTGGGCTGCAAAAAACCCCCCTCTCCCTTGTTATTCCCAGCGGCTCGATGACTCTTTGTCTCTCTCCCATCTCTTGTTTTTCCATAGGGAGAAGATCCCTTCACGGATGAAATCACAGACCAGGATGTGGAGGAAGGTTTGGAAGGTGGAGACGGCGCCGTGGAAGGAGCCACCGAAACTGCTGCCGCTGCCCCCGAGGTTGCCCAGGAAGGAGAAGGAGGATTGGGAGAAGCTACAGAAGCAGCAGAAGCTTCCGAAGAGTTTTCCAAGCCAGAGGAATTCCTTAAAAATCTGGGGGAGCAAGATCAGCCCCCCAGGCCACTCCTGATGCCCCCGTTCCTGCAAGATGATGAGCTGGAAGCGGAGATGACGCCGGAGGCGACGTCGGAGGTGACGTCGGAAGCGGCCGCGGCGCCTTTGGAAAGCGCTGAAGAACCACCTGCCATTTCTGAAAATGCTCCCAAATCAGCTGTTTCCCCCCAAAATGAAACTGAGGGCCAGGCAGGCAAAGAGGAGGAGGAAGAGGAGGAAAAGGGGAGCGTGGCGGCAGCAGCCGAGTGCGGAGAGGAGAAGGAAGAGGAAGAGGAGGAGGAAGAGGCTCCACCAGCGGAGCCGCAGCCGGAATAACTGTGAATACTTGTGTGAAGGTGATGATGTAATCCCTGATTTTTGATTTCTTAACCTTTTCATTTTTTTTTGAGCTCAGGGCCCAAAAGTGGCCAATGTTGGTTTTAATTAAGGGGAGGGACGTGGTTGCTTCATTAGGGGGCAGCCCCGGCGCTTGGTTCATCTCGTTGAGTTTGAATTTTGCTTCGTTTCTGCCAGTTCTGGTTTGGTTTAGGAAGAAAAGCCCAGGAAGCAGCAGCTGCCCCTGAGACCCCACCCCTGGGGGGGGTTGTGTTGTTTTTTTGGAGGGATTTTAGAAAGAAATAGGAAAAAAAAACCCACAACCAATAATAATGAAATAAAAGTGAGGTTTGGAAAAATGAATAAAGGTGACAATTGGATCCTGGCGGCTCGTTGGGTTTGGAACGTGGGATGGAGCCCTCGTCCTTTTTCCCCCCCAGTTCAGGGAATTCCTCAATGTAGGGAATTCCTCAATTTAGGGAGCTTTTATGGAGTTATTTCCCAAAACTGGGAATTCTTTCCTCTTGGGAGACACCCCAGTTTTTCTCTTAGCTCATTTATTGTGAGTTTCTTTCAGTTTGGAGGGGGGTGGGGATTGACTTGGGTGACCAAAGTCATTGAAAACCCTTTTTCTGGCAAAACGTGTAGGTCGTGGCCACCCCTTCCATCTCCAAACCTGCTTCCTAAAGGATTTGCCAAAAAAAAACCCCATGGGGGAGTGTTAATGAGGTTGTTGCCAACATACAGGGCTGAAGGGGACCTGGAGAGCATCCTTTGGGCGTTCACCAAAAGCCTCCTTTTTTCACCAAAAAAACCCCTTTATAGGCCTAAAAAAGTTTTCTGTCATGCAAACTGAGCTCTGCCCCGGTCTCAGCCTCCCTTGGTGCTGGGATATGGGGGGTTGGGTGTGACCCCTCCCCAGGCAGCGTCATCTCATTGTCTCCCGTTCCACCCCCCCATGGTGTCACACCCCAATGTTTCCCTCACTGCTGCTCTGGTGCCAGGCACATCCCCCTTATGCCCCCAGCCCTGGGCACTGCACCCCACTATCACCCCAGTGCCCTCCCGTGCTGACACCCCCCCTGTCCCCATGAATTGCCCCCCAAGACCCTCCCTCAGGCACCCCAGGACCC